TTCATTCGTGAAGAAAGCTATCAGAACATACCCACACTTCCACCATTCATTTTCTGAGAGAGAACCACCTACTCATGAGTTGAGACCAAGACATTCCATTCCAACCATTAGAATCTTGATCTCTAGCCTTCTCCAAGTTGCTTTCCACTCAAATGGTCTTTCCACCATAGCCAAATCTGCGAGAGAGAGTTGAGTATTGGGGAGACTCTCATTTGAAGCACAAGAGCAAGGAGTTCGTCATCAACACACCATCTATTACCTTTTGGAGAGAAGTGTCTCCTAGATTGGTTAGGTGTCACTTGGGAACCTCCGTCAAGATTGTGGAGTTGAACTAAGGAGTTTGTAAGGGCAAGGAGATTGCCTACTTCGTGAAGATCTACCCAAGTGAGGCAAGTCCTTCGTGGGCGATGGCCATGGTGGGATAGACAATGTTGCTTCTTCGTGGACCCTTCGTGTGTGGAGCCCTCCATGGACTCTCGCAACCGTTACCCTTCGTGGGTTGAAGTCTCCATCAACGTGGATGTACAATAGCACCACCTATCGGATCCACGCCAAAAATCTCCGTGTCAACATTGCGTTTGCTCCCTTCAAACTCCTCTCATTTACTTTCTTGCAAGTTGCATGCTTTACTTTCTGCTGCTCATATACTCTTTGCATGCTTGCTTGAATTGTATTGTGATTGCTTGACTTGTGCTAAGTTGCTAAAATCTGCCAAGAATTAAAATTGAGAAAAGGTTAGGCTTTATTTGGTCAAGCAGTCTAATCACCCCCCCCCCCTCTAGACATACTTTCGATCCTACAGTGGGGTAGATTAATACTAAGGAAGGATGTCAGTGCGTAGGCTATTTCCGTAGCATGTCAACCGCAAATTTTGCATTTTAGATTTCTTGGCAACATTCGGTCTCCTTGTAAACCTAGTACTTATATACAAATCAAGGAGTAATGCTAGAGTTATGGATCCTCTACATATTTTATGGATTATGGTTCGGTGACAGTTATTGTTTGGAGATTAAATGGGGAGGAGGGGCCCACCCTGTGAAACTCAGGGGAGGGGAGAGAATTAGTTGGAAGCTTCCGTAAAACATATGTAAATCGTCCATGGATATAGTACTAGGCTAAATCGATTCGCAATAAATTCCTAGTTTTATGTTGCATGGATCCAATAAAGTTGTGTCAAAAAGATGAACAATTGCAAGAATTGGTTCTTTACTCCTGAATAGACTTCTATAAATATCAGTTCAAGGATGAATACATAGTACAAAAAATGTAGGCGCAGAGGTCAACAACACCATCCTCTATACCCAATATTTTGATATGTGTTTCATAGTTGTTTTTCAGTCAAACCATATTATTCCAGCCTGTCCATTTTAGTCACGTGTCGTTTGTTGAATCACTAAATGTTCCACGCCAATGGAGGTTGTGGTTATGTCGTCATCTATGACTACAAATTTGTAGCATTTGTGTTTGACTACAAATGCCAACCTCTGTATCCCCACCAACGTTGACCGAGGGCTTCTTCCCCATCACCCTTGATCCTAGCATCTTCACTGGTGTGACACCATGCCACGAGTCGCTGGATATTGGGTGTAGGGGTTCGACAAATACACATGAGCATGCACACAAGTACTTCTCACAGGAGTAGAGGTCAGCAATATCAGGTTTTCTTGTAAACCATCTTTATAGTTGTTTTTTCATGCAAACCATCTTCTTCTAACCCGTCCATTCTAGTCACGCGTGGTTTGTAAAATTGTCGAATGTTCCACGCACTGAGGTTGCGACTACAAAATTGTAGCATTTTGCTTGGGCACAAACGCCAACCTCAATATCCTCGTCAACATTGGCAGATGGCTTCTTCCTCGCCCCCCTTGCTCATGGCATCTCATTTTGACCCACGTGACTATATGCCGTGAGGTCTCTAGTTACATAGGGAAGTGAGATCACGAGCACAAGTATTTCTCGCACAAGCAGAGGTCGACACTCGACACCATACAGTTTTCATGTAAACATGCTATTATACTGTATATGATTGAGGGCTCTTAGTAAATTCCTAGTTTTTTTATCTTATTCCTTGCCATAAACAGTAAACTACTGCTAGGATCCAGCCACTTCTTACTCTTGCTCGTATAACCCCTAAACAGACTTTGTAAGTATCAGTCCAAGGATGAATACACATTTTACAAAAAGAGGATGAATACACATTTTACAAAAAGGAAAGAAAGAAAGAATTCTGACATACATAATCCTACATGAGCATGAGCACAAGTATTTCTCGCAGAAGCAGATGCTTCCTTGTAAACCTTCCTAGGTTTATGCCGCATGGATCCAATAAGCCGTGTCAAAAAGATGAACAATTGCAAGAACTGATTCTTCCTTTGCCATAAACAGTAAGCTAATTATGATCCATCCAATCCCCACCCTCGCTTACACCCCGTAAACAGGCTTTATAAATAATCAGTACATCCTAAAAAAACCACAGCCTCAGAAAAACATCAGTTCAAGGATGAATACATTTTTTAGAAGAAAAAAAAGTAACAAGAACCATGGCACGCAGAATCCCAGCATAGCCAACGAAGAATCACCATCACCAATAATGGAAGCAAAGAATGTGGGAAAGGGAAAAGGAGGGGTCAGGGAGGCCGCCAAGGAGAAACACCCAGCTGCCTTTTTCGTGCAAAAGAGCTTGACATTCTCAATCCTGCAGTCCCTCTCCATCCACCTCTGCCCGCCCCTGCCCTCCCCTACCTCACCTGGCTTGTCTCTCTCTCTGCTGCGAGTGCGAGCATTGACTCCTCCTCCACCTCCAAACACTACTCCTTTCCTAATCTTGCTAGACAGTTCTCTGTATTCCCGCACATGCCACCGTCGACACCTGTCAGCCCCCCCACCGGGTTTCCTTAGGGGCTGTTTGGTTCCAATAAGTCACCTAACTTATAAGTCAGGTGACTTAAAACCAGTGACTTATAAGTCATGCCTGTTTGGTTGTCACCTGACTTATAAGTCACCTGAACACACCTTTCCATCTTGTTTTTTATGTAAAGGTGGTGGGACTCATGCAAAAAGGGATGACTTATAAGTTTTAAGTTGAGGTGGAGCAACTTATGACTTATAAGTTGGGGTGACTTATAAGTTAAGTCCGTTTGACAAAATAGGCCACTTTTTACACTTTTCGACTTATAAGTTGGTGACTTATTTGGAACCAAACAGGGCCTTAGCCGGTGCGGCGGTGGACTTCTGCTGCCGTGCCCCCCCGGGGACTTCTCGTATCACAGACGAGTCCTCCTCTGAATGCGGTGGAGCTGTTGGGGTAGGAGAGGAGCAGTAGTATAGATAGAGAAGAGCCGTGCGCGCTCGGGAGAGGAGAGGAGGAGAGAGGCAGGAGTCCCGGGGCTGTACGGGGAGCAGCGTACCGCGTACGTACGCGCATCCCACCGGCTACCGGGCCACCGCCGCGGGTACAGGGTGTCAGCGCGGCCGGGCGGGCCCTTTTCTCTCGCTCTTTCTGGTGCGGGCCTTCAATGCGTCGTCCTGGTGGCTGCTGATATCCATCCGCCCTCCCGGACTCCTCGGCCGATCAGATTCGGTTCTGTTACTCGAGCTCGCAGCGGAAAGAGGGGAGGAGATAAGAGGGAGGAGGTTGGGGCCTGAGCCAGCCAGGCAGGCAGGCATTCTGATCCGGATTCGGCTCCTGCAACCTCTCAGCCGCCTCGAGGAAGGAAGGTTGGTTGGTTTCTTGCTCCTCCCTCCCCATCTCATCTCAGATTGTTCTTCCTCTTCTCCCCGGATGCTTGTTTGGAAAGTCGGCGGCTGTCCATCTTCATCTTAGTGTGTCCTTAGACGTGAGCTCTGGTTTCGGTGCTTCTCCATCGAGTTCAGCTGACAAGGCAAGTTCGCTGTTTGTTTGCGGATCCTTTTTCGTTGGTTATTAGTACTAGCGCTCAAGTTTAGAACTCTCTGCTCTAGATTGCTTTGGCCGGGGCTTCCCATTGTGCTCCTACCCGTCAGGTTCTTGATGCCGTTTGGCGTGCAAATCTGTGCGAGGCCCGCTTTTGCTTTCGGATCACTGCCGTTTGGATTTGTCCAGTTTTTCCCTTCTTTTCCCTTATTACTTTTTGTCTAGTGTCAGAAAAGTTCAGGTAGTGTTGCCGAGTCTGAATTTCATCGTCGGATGTTCTCCGGTCGTGGTTTGGGAAGTCATACATAATACTGGCGGCGTGTTGGGACTAATCTTAGATCTTGCTTTGCGCGTCTTTATATTTCTCCGCGAGAATGGTTGCCCCATAATTTGACGTCTCGCCGCGTGAAAAGTCGATGCCTTCGCAGGAAAATCAAATAGTCTGGATGATGCTTGTTCGGGTCATAATTTTTACTCCTGCGGTTTCTCTAGTTTTATTTTTTTGAGGGGTTTGCAGTTTCTCTAGTGATTCACAGTTGTCCAATTGTCAAAAAACCGCGTTATTTCAACTGCTCCATGCCTATATTCCGCGCTAATTCCATGAGAAAAAGTCAAATCATTATTATAATTAAATTCAACTATACATGTCCGCCGATAAGATAAATAGATGATGATCAATATTGTTTTGTTTTTATTCGCTGAACGGGACAATTTTATATAAGCAATAATTGCCCGTATAATACTACCGGTTGCGCACCAAGTTCAGCTTACAATCTTTTGTTTCCTATTGTTGTATTTCAGGATACTTGAGAAGCCAGGCTGCTGCGGGTTTTTTTTTTCTTCAACAAGTTTCAGGGATCTGTTTGACACTGAACAGACCCTTGACCTCTTTGTGCAACACTCATCTTCTGTACAACTTGCGGCAAGAATTTGGCAGCAAATGGGTCGAGGAATCACAGTGATTCCTGGCCTAAGGTCTCTCGGATGCGTTTCTTGTGACTTCTGTTCAAAATTTCACTTCAACATGTGGTTCATGCTAATCCAAGCTTCCAAAGTTGGAATCTGATCACTTGTGACAGCGTTTCTCCGTCTCCTCAGTTCCAGCAATATGGACACGGAGAACTCCTGGATTAGGAGGACCAAGTTTTCACACACCGTCTACACGAGGGTTGGTTCCCATGGGGTGCATGTGGCTCCTCTTGGGAGGGATGTGGAGCAGAAACTTCAGAGGTTTGTGAGCATGGGTAAGTGTGTGACGATGCCCATTGATCGAGGCAATGATGAAACAGTGGCCGCGCTGAAGCATACTGCTAGTCTGCCATCACTCCGATCCTCACTCCAGCCTAATGAGAAAAAGGCCAGCAAGCAGAAGATGAGTTTAGAGATTCCTTTGAGCCCTCCTGCAAAGTCTGAGAAATCCAAGGCCCCAAGGGCGAGGAGCCTGGTCAAGAGCCCAAGCTCGATGATGCTCCTTAGCTACTTAAATAATGCACACACAAGTCAGGGCTCCAACCTTCGTCAAAAGGCTAACGGATCTCATCACAAGCTGAGATCCAAGTCCCCTCTTCCCAGCGTAGTGCCTTCAGATACATTCAGGGAAGCGAGGGCCAGCAGTCAGAGGTTCACAAGCCCTCCCCCGAAGCGTGTGGGATCTGATAAAAGCGTATATGGCAAATCGCTGGGCAGGGAAGGGTGTGATATGGGTCCAAGCCCTGATTGGTGTTCGACTCCGGTGGTCTCTGATAAGCACAATTCTCAGAAGGATAGCTCATGGACCAAAAGATACTTTGACAATGGGGGAAGGAGGAGGGTTAGTGCAGTAGAGACTGTGAGGAGCCGTACAGTTAGCATGGCTCAAGCGGTGCAATCGACAGTTGATTGGGAACTTGATCCAACCAAGCTGCTTGTTGGCCATAGGTTTGCTTCTGGGGCACATAGCCGGCTATACAAAGGACTTTACGATGATAAGCCGGTTGCCCTTAAATTTATCCGCCGGCCTAAGCATGACACTGGTGGGATAATAGCTGCAAAGCTTGACAAACAATATAACACTGAGGTCAATGCATTGTCTCATCTGCATCATAAGAATGTGATCAAGGTATAATTACATTCAGACTTTTCAAGATGTACTGTTTTTCTTATTATATCTCTGGGCATAGATAGTGCAGAGTGTTTGGTTTGATTCTTTTTCCTTAGCCTTATAATGGTCATGCAATCTAATAAAATCACATGGCACGTTGATGTTCCTTTTTTTGCAATAGAAAAATACTTTGAGGATATGTCTTAGTTAAACCTTTTGTTATAATCAACTCATAATTGTCTGCCAACTTGTTATACACCTTCAGAAGAAGAAGAAGATTAAGCTGATGTTATCTTAGGATAAGCAATGTTGCTATTTTCAATGTGCCGTGAAGTGCTCAAAATATCCATCAATAAGTTTTATGTATTATGAGCTAACCAGAGTCAATAATACCAGTGAATCATTCCTTGTTATTGATTAACCTTGTCTGATTTCATTTTGTTGGTAACTTCTTAATGCAGCTTGTAGCAGCTCATAGAGTTGGACCGGTTTATTACATAATTACGGAGCTTCTTCCTGGAGGTTCCTTGAGGTCATACCTGCACAACCCAGAGCACCACCCCCTCCCTCTGGAGAGGACCATATCCATCGCTCTGGAGATTGCCCGAGGGTTGGAGTACATCCACTCTCAGGGAGTTGTCCACCGCGACATTAAGCCCGAGAACATCCTTTTTGATGAGAAGTTCGAGGTGAAGATTGCTGATTTTGGCATTGCCTGTGAGGAGACGTTATGTGATTTGCTAGTGGACGATGAGGGCACGTACCGCTGGATGGCCCCTGAGATGCTAAAGCGCAAGCCGTACAACCGGAAGGTGGATGTATATAGCTTTGGACTGCTGCTGTGGGAGATGGTGACCGGAAGAATTCCTTTCGAGAACCTGTCCCCAGTCCAGGTGGCTTATGCCGTTGCGAATAACGTAAGAGTTTAATTATGAGTTTGAGTTTGCCTTCTTTGCAGAACGTAATCTGAAGATGTACGCATTCTCTCCTTGACTAAATCCTTTGGTTTTGTTTCAGAACAAGAAAGCGATGGAGCCTGAAGATTATTGCCCGGCAGTAGTGAGACCCCTGATTGAGCAGTGCTGCGCATTGCAGCCCGAGAAGAGGCCAGATTTCTGGCAGATTGTGAAAACCCTGGAGAAAATCCAGTCTGTTATGTCGCAGGGCGGCCGCCTGGACGCGCTGAGGAGCAGTGACCACAAGAAGGGGCTTAAGCACTGGATTCAGAAACTGAAACCATCACACGGCGCCTGAGCTCGGTCTTCTAGCATCGTTTCGACCGTTATTTTATCCGGTTGGGTACGCTCCCCTAGTCTAGCCTAGCGTAAGATGATAAGCTTTTCGATTTCGTGTTTAAAATTCTAGGACGGATGCGGATGTTTATTAGGTGATCTACAATTAGCTTTTATTACATTTATCATCAGTAGCTGTATGCCATATATCAAACTTATATATGTTATCTCATTCGCTCTTGCTCTTGCTCCTGTCCCTGTCTGTTAAGTTCAGTCGCGGTGCAGATTATTCATATTGGTCGAAATCGTCGATAGTAGATAGTCATCATTATTAGCCTGCTCTCCTCGTTTAGATAGAGATTGCCGAGGAAAAGCCGCCGACTCGCCGTCATTAGCATCATGGGGAAGGAAGGGCGTGGTTAATTAACTCAATTATTGGGTCCTTTGTTTGTCAGCATGCCACTCTGAATGGTCATGGTGCTTTTGACCTGTGAGACGGCCACCCCGGTTGCTTTTTATTCTGTTGTGGGATGACGCCCGGGTTCGAGATATGTTTGTTTGTACTGCTGCATTTCAGTGATATTTTGTTGTTGCGAGATGACGGCTCGGTTTGGATATGTTTGTTTTACTGCTGCATTTCAGTGATATTTTGTTGTGCAGCCCCTCTTTCCTTCCTCCTCTCCCCCTCTTTCCCCCTTCTCCTACTCCAACAAGGAAGGAGGGAGTCCTACTCCCGGTGGGAGTCCCCCTTCTCCTACTCCAACAAGGAAGGAGGGAGTCCTACTCCCGGTGGGAGTAGGACTCCCCTTGGCGCGCCTCTCCCTGGCCGGCCGCCTCCTCCCCTTGCTCCTTTATATACGGGGGCAGGGGGCACCCCATAGACACACAAGTTGATCTACGGATCGTTCCTTAGCCGTGTGCGGTGCTCCCCTCCACCATATTCCATCTCGGTCATATCGTCGTGGAGTTTAGACGAAGCCTTGCACCAGTAGAGCATCATCATCGTCACCACGCCGTCGTGCTGACGGAACTCATCCCCGAAGCTTTGCTGGATCGGAGCCCGGGGATCGTCATCGAGCTGAACGTGTGCTGAACTCGGAGATGTCGTACGTTCGGTACTTGGATCGGTCGGATCGTGAAGACGTACGACTACATCAACCGCGTTGTCCTAACGCTTTCGCTTACGGTCTACGAGGGTACATGGACAACACTCTCCCCTTTCGTTGCTATGTCATCACCATGATCTTGCGTGTGCGTAGGAATTTTTTTGAAATTACTACGTTCCCCAACATGCTTTCCCTCCATATGTTCCGGCCACTCGTTTCCCGCCATATGTTCCCGCCAACCCTTTCCCGCCATACTGCACTCGTTATTTCCCGCCATTTTCTCTTCTATACTTATAAAATCCCCTTAAGACGGAGGTGGATAAGCATTCGAGTGTAGTGTAGTCGAGATGTCTCATTATTCTTTCGATCGTAGTTTTCACCCTGGGATGAGCAGGACTCTTCTCAGGCTAGCTACCGATTTCAGGATGGACAATAGGATAGTTCCATGGGATGAACTCACCGGTAGTGACACCATAATGAATGAGTTGGCTCACCAATTACGTAGGTCCGGGTGGCCTGAAAGGACCTACGAGGAGGTACGTAAAGAACTTCTTAGGTTGCATGCAAGGTGGAAGAATGTAGTGGAGCCGAATAGTGAAACTTTCAAAAGGACTGCAGAAAATTATCCATTTTTATGGACTGAGGAGAGCGAGGATGAAGATGATATCTTCATGCCGCCGCTTCCGGGTGCTGCATCGTCAAAGGGCAAGAGTTCTGCATCGTCTAAGGGCAAGAGTACTGCATCCTCGAAAAGCAAGAGTTCTGCATCGTCCAAGGGTAAGAGTTCTGCATCCTCGAAGGGCAAGAGTTCTGCATCGATGGAGGATGACGATGATGCCTACATGTAGTTTTTATGTTGTATTCCAGTTCTACCGTTTAATTCGGATGTACTTGCATTATTAGTTTGTACTCTCTTATTGTAGGGCATTATGTTCTATCTTAATTTTATTTTGTAGTTGTTGCACGATGTTCGATATTAGTGGAGGGAAAGAAAATGCCACTACTTTATTCTAAAACTATATTTTTTTTCCATTACGACACGACACAACTGAAAATAAAATACGTCGTAGGAATAAAGCTAAATTTAACTCCTAAAATAAAGCTACATTAAAGTGCAGAAATAAAGATACAAATGATTGCGAAATTAAAAATACTACCATAGGAATCTACTGAGTCCAGCGTGGATATTTTCCTTTTCCATCGCCAGCTTCTTCTGCTGCCTTGGCCTCACGAGCCCTTTCTTTCTTTCTCTGCCTCTCCTCCTCACGAGCCTCCTTTCGCTCTCGTTCCTGCTCCTCCATGCGACGAGCCTCTTCCCTGTTTTTCTTTCCTAAATCCTGAAAAAAACGGTGTTGCTCCGCATAGTATTCTTTTAACTCTCTCTCTTGCTCTGCTTTCTCCTCAGCTTCCGCCTTCTCGCGTCGCTCTTCCGCAAATAAATTATTCCACGCACGGCGACTTCTTTCACGAATCTCAGTCACTGCCCAAGCCGGCTTCTTCGTGTCAATCCAACGATAGTATATGCACAGAGGCGGAGGAGACTACAACAAGAAACAAGAATGTTACTAAAGAATCAATCAAAATATCAACAATATCTATTCATGATGGTTAAAGCATACCGGAGGCTTGTCGTACTCTGAAATAGCTACGGCAGGATCTTCCTCATAATTGGCGCACATGAAAAACTTCATGCCCAACCAATCTGAAAAATCCGTCACCTCCTTCACCTTGCAAAGATCGCCACACCAACACCGCAGGACTGCCACCCCCGAGGCAAACTTGCATTCTTCATTTTTCTCGGCCTAATGCTTTGATCCGAACAAGGCAAACTCATACCGACTGAACAAATGTGTTACACACTTCGCGCACTGCCGATTTCGAGGATGGCTGGACGAGAGCCTCAGTGTCTCCTTTTATAGGCTCAGACGATAAATGATAAGCGAGAACAGAGGAAATTAGGTGGGATATTTTAGGATCCCTGTAGCGTCGGTACAACAGGTTCCCGCAGCATCGGATTCCCGCAGTGCCGTCGTATCCGCTGATGCAGAAAAAGCAAAAGCCAGAGTGATTCCCGCCCGTGAAATTCGTCGTCCTCCGCGCGTGGTAATCAGCCCAGTTTGCAACGGTGAAATTCATCGTTATTACGCGCGTGGGAATCAACGCCATTTGCCATAGTGGCTCATGTCGGCCAGGGGAATCCGCGCATGCAGCAACGGGCCGCCTGCGCTAGTGGCGGCAGGGCCCGCGCCTCGGCCAGTGAGCAGCAGCAGCTGTCAGCCAGCGCTGTCGACAGGCGAGGCCGCCTCAGCCAGTGGCGGCGAGGCCCACCGGCGGGGCCCGCACGAAGCAGGGCCTGTCTGCCAGCCAGCGACTGCGCCAGGGCTGGCCGCCTCGCCCGGTGGCGGCAGGGCCCACCTGGCTCGCCCCGTTCCGTCGCGGCGCGGGAGGAGCTGGGAATCCGCTCTGGCTGGGTGACCGCCTCCTGCGGTGGCGGCAGGGCCCGCCGCCTCCTGGCGTGGCGGCAGGTGCCACGTGTTGCCTGCCGCGCCTGCCGCCACCGTCGAGGGGGTCCTTTTTGTCAAATTAATTCAGAGGCAGTCTTTTTTTGCAATTCATCTCGGCAGGGGTCCTTTTGGACAAAAAATCCCTCCGCTTGAGCCAGACTAGGCGGTGTCTCCGTGCGGCGTTTTCTGTCTTTTTTCTTTTCTGGGCTTGTTGAGCTGTGCCCTCAGCAGAACATATGTATTTTTTTGTGAGACTTGTGTGTGTGTGTGGACTTGACTCCGTTTGTGTGCACTATGGCGGTTTGCTTTATTTATAAAGCAGGGCGAAAGTCTTTTTCGGTAATACTAAAACGTGACTTGATACATCCGTATTTAGACAAATACAAGACAAGAATTTTGGGACGGAGGGAGTATTTGTTTTACCGCTGCATTTCAGTGATATTTTGTTGTTGCGAGATGACTCCTCGGTTTTATTTCTGTGATATTTTGTTGCTGCGAGATGACGGCTCGGTTTGGCTATGTTTGTTTTACTGCTGCATTTCTGTGATTTTTGTGTGGGAGATGTTGCTGAAGACGGGTGTTGGTCGTGGCCATCGCTGTGCCGGTGGCGCCCTGACGCGGGAGGAGGGGGCCTGGACGTTGAGGCACGCGTTGCTCTGGCCAGCAGTTGCGGGGCGCGACCCCCTGATGGCCACGCGTTTGTCACCAGCAAGCAGGTAGACAGCTCCAGTGCGTCGCGGTGCACCGGCCGATCGCTGCTCCTGCTCGGGTGTCTGTTGTTGCGATTGCGCGTAGCCTGAGGGAGCAGAGGTCGCATGCCGGTGAGTGAAGCTACGGCTCAGCAGTCGCTACCCCTACCGGCCCACCCACCCTATACAGAGCCTCCGCTCAACTTGCCCGCACCGGCAAGGGGGGGCCTCAGGCGACGGTAGGCAATTTTTTTATTTTTTTTATTTTTTGAGGGAAGCCGGGGTCAAAGCTTGACGGAGAGGCCATCGTCAATTAGCACCAGAGAGCCGTGCACAGGGTCACCCATTGAGAACATGCTACTGCAATGTTCTTCAGGATCGCCTGCACTCCAGTTCAAGTGCTACGATCAAAGCACAAGCCATTTTTACACCTCCGGATAGACAAAAGGGTAGCAGCTCCGTGTAATTTGTCCTCGCCGGCATCGATGTGCACATGATCGGCGCTCATTGCAGGAAGGACTATCAAACATGAACTGCAGCAAGCTTTCAGCGAAAAGATGCAGTAAACTCAGTATCTTTGGCAGGGGTTTCGATGGTTTTCCTTTATATATAGCAAAAGAGAGATGCTCTGATCCAAATCAAGAAACGCTCTTAAGGTATATAACCAAAGGGGAAAGATGGGGATCTCAAATCTAGGTCTCGGCTTAAATAGAGCCATTACAC